ATTTTCATTCTTTATTCTCCTAAACGCAATTACTTCCTCTTTCCTTAATAAATAAAAAATAAAAAAAACAACTGCCCACTAATATTATTTAGTTTTCATATCTTTTCTCAACAAAACCCCATCATCAAATTTCTCCTAACATCGTGTGCCCTAAGAATGGGTAAGCCTTTGTGGGACTAAGGAAGTAGTAATATTGAAATGAAGTGTTAATTATGTCTCATGAACTTATCTTTCATAGTTTCTAATCGTCTTGAGTAATTATGTCAATTACTCATATGTGTTTCATGTTACTCAGACTCTTCATTTTACCTTAAGTAGTCAGGTAAGATCCTCGATATTTGGAAATGATAATCTGGCCCTTTATTTTGACCAAAATCATTAATCTTTTTTCCATAAAAAGGCGAGTTGAACACGTTCACGAGTCCCAGCGGCCTGGCTCATGTTACACAAATAGAAAGGGTAAAAAAAACAAAGAAAAAAAAAAGAAAAGAAAAAACCATATTCAGAATCACGATTAGATTGCTCCTTGCTGGATCCACTTGTGTACCAAGGTGGAGCGATTTGTTGAAGGAATTGTGAATTTTGCTAAGGGACAAAGACTTGTATATGGATTTTTTACTTCTCCTTAGATGTATCAACTTGTTGAGGATATGGAAGCTATTAGTCCAAAAAACTTACTTCGTATGAAAGTAAGAAAGATTATGCAAATAAATATGTCTCCTGTCCAAACTCTTTTTTAATACAAAAATATGGATAAGCAAAAAATATCCTTTATTCAGCTAAAAACTGTTATTTAGGGGTTTGAAATGAATAGATGATCTTCTAGGCTTAAGCATTTGATTTAAGAGGCCCAACTCAGTCAAATACCTTCCAAGTCCTTCCATTTGCAGTTTTTGTTACATTGCTCTTGCTTACAAAAGCTTTGTGCCCACTTGACAGTTAACACTTCCTTAGACTTCACAAATTATCTGAGCAAAGGATTTAATGAGCATAAGAGGGGGAAGAAAAACCAGAAATACACTGAAACAAAGTATAAACCATGCTTATTTCTGACAATCAAAGTGTTTTACATAAGATGTGGAGTTCATGTGAGGATCGTTCCTTGAAGGTCAAGATAAATAAATTTCTCTCTAATATTACCTTTCATGTAGATGGTCAGATCAAGTGGATTGGGTTGGGGTTGGAGAATTACAAGTTTAGATCCAACAATGCTTGTTCAATGTTCATGACCCAAAAATTTGAAATTCGAGTCCATACTAATAAAATATATAAAATATACGTGCCCAAAAAAAAAAAGCCAAATCCAACCATACAAATGATACTTATTCCAATAATCTGAATTGCTAAATTATACGAAGTATATCCATTATTCCAGAATTTTCAGTGATAACACAAAGAAGGAACATATTTCCTGCCTTGCTGATTGTTCTTGACATTTACTTCATATTTCAGGTAGTGCTGGTGATGTCCTGGATGATAACCCTGTTGGCAGACTGAAAGTTTTTGTTTATGAGCTTCCAAGCAAATACAACAAAAAGATCTTGCAGAAGGATCCAAGATGCCTTACCCACATGTTTGCAGCTGAGATATTTATGCACCGGTTTCTTCTTGCTAGCCCGGTCCGAACCCTTAATCCTGAAGAAGCTGATTGGTTTTACACCCCAGTGTATAGCACTTGTGATTTGACACCAAATGGTCTTCCGCTGCCATTTAAATCCCCACGCATGATGAGAAGTGCTGTACAGCTTATTTCATCAAATTGGCCTTATTGGAACAGGACAGAAGGAGCAGATCATTTTTTTGTGGTACCTCATGATTTTGGTGCTTGCTTCCATTACCAGGTTAGAAAAATATTGAACTCATTTTTCTACCACCTCAGAAAGTAACAGTAGAACCAAATAAAAAAAGGGTCTGTAAGAAATGGTTCAGAAGGGAACAATATTTTTACAAGCATTTCTTCTATTTATTTTTCCTTTTTGTTGATGTCATATTTTTATTATGCAGGAAGAAAAAGCAATCGAAAGAGGCATTCTTCCTTTGCTCCAACGTGCTACTTTGGTTCAGACTTTTGGTCAGCGAAATCATGTATGCCTGAAGGAGGGCGCAATCACCATTCCTCCATATGCTCCTCCACAGAAAATGCAAGCTCATTTAATCCCTCCAGATACACCTCGCTCCATCTTTGTTTACTTCCGAGGTCTCTTTTATGATGTCGGAAATGACCCCGAAGGAGGTTACTATGCTAGGTTTGCTCTCTCTCTCTCTCTCTTTCATAGAAGATAAGAAAGTTGGAGAAGAAAATATTTCTGCTTAAGCTCTAATGGACTTGAGAACAACTTATGCTGATTATATCTTACTTTCTTATTATACAGAGGTGCTAGAGCAGCTGTTTGGGAAAACTTCAAGGACAACCCACTTTTCGACATCTCAACAGAGCATCCAACAACATACTATGAGGATATGCAAAGAGCTGTTTTTTGCTTGTGCCCTCTAGGCTGGGCACCTTGGAGTCCAAGATTGGTTGAAGCTGTTATATTTGGGTGCATTCCTGTCATTATAGCAGATGATATCGTTCTTCCATTTGCAGATGCCATCCCATGGGAAGAAATTGGATTGTTTGTGGATGAGAAGGATGTGCCGAATTTGGATACAATACTTACTTCAATCCCTCCGGAAGTTATCTTGAGGAAACAAAGGTTACTTGCTAACCCTTCAGTTAAACAAGCTATGCTTTTCCCTACACCTGCTCAACCTGGTGACGCTTTTCATCAAATATTGAATGGACTTGCACGTAAATTGCCACACAACCAAAACGTTTTCTTGAAACCTGGGGAGAAGGTTTTGAACTGGACTGCAGGACCTGTGGGTGACCTTAAGCCTTGGTAGATGGTACTGGGTAGAAAATTTCAGGTGGCCGAACATTTTTCCCCATGAAGATAATACTTCTAGAGGTGGGCATTTGTTTGCTGTTGTAAATGATATATCCATTCATTTAGTGTAAAACTGTTAACTTCTTTTTGCCAATACAAAATGAGATCATTCTGTAATTTTGCAGCATTAATGGCTTTATTTTTGCGATGTGGTATTTGGTCTCTCAAGGAAAGTTGCTTAGATTTGAATCTTATCATGCTCCATTTTTAGTGTGAAACATCAATTTTCGGTACAATGGTGTAATGTATTGTATTTACACTTAAAAGCCTGCTTGGCTGCTTGTTGCCCTATACATCGAGTTCTCAATATTCTCAATGTTAGAACTACAAAGTCTTATCACATATCATTTCAATCAGAAGGTAATGGGATGGATCATCTGCTTGATTGGCCAATCGTGGTAGGTTAAGTGAGCCTCTAGTATACGACGAAGAAAGGAGGGTAACGGGAAATGGAAAATCCCATGTGCTCTAGTGGGATACTGTAGTTGAGTACCTAAAGCTTCATAAACTACTCTCCACCACTAGATCAAGCCAAATTTAGTAAAGTACCAATTACATAACATAGTTACTATAATTACTCTCTCCGTTGAAGTTTCCTTGTGTTATTCAATTTAGTCCTACTCTAAATTAGTAGATTGTTAATGAGGTGTAATTAGTAATAAGTATAATAGATTTTGGGAAAATACTACTTGTCACGATGTCAACCTAGTAGGACGTCGATGTACGTTTCATATAAAAGCCAAAGGCCTTGTCGAACGGTGGAACCTCAACATCCTTATGACAAATATTTTGCATCCGCAATTGTTGTAATGTATGAACATGCATATAATAGTAATAATTCCTTAATAGGAAAATATCATTCACTTTTTACAATAATATAGTTTATAAAAGTGTGGTATATCTATAGTCAAAGTGCAAACCAATAGCCACTCTATTGGTATGTACCCAAGACATACGTACTAACAAAATCATCGGACCATATTATGGTATATCAACATGATCTGAAATAGTACCACCGAAACAGCAAAAGATAGTGCCTAAACGTAAAGTACTAACATCACGTACTAGCAGCATCACCTTCACATATTTTTTCAACCACAAAAATATTTACAAATTGGAATGTATTGAGGTAAATAATTTCCCGTGCCCTTTATTCCATGCCTCCATTAACTTATTAACCTCCTCCCGGCGTTCGTTGGACGATCATAGTAGGTCACCCAAAAGAGCGGACTACTCTTCGAAATCACCGTAGCTCAAATCACAAACTGGTGTTCGCAACCTTCAAATCGTCACCTTCGAATTGCAATTTTCGTCGACCTTTTACTCTATAAAACCCTTATGTTTTCTCTCTCCTCTAGCAATCCTATTTTTTACTGTACAATTGATTTTTCATTTACCCTTTTCTTTTATTTATTAAAATTCATTTCTAACACCACCTGACAATGTGTAAGATGGGGGCTACTACTTTTCTCTTTCTCTTCAATCAACAAGAAAATTACCAAAAATACCTTCCCTTCATTCCATAAGAACTATAGATACTATACCCTGAGAATTGCTCCTCTAAAAGCTCCTCACACTTTGCAGTATTTTAATTAATTTGACCAAAAAAAAAATGACAACTTTTACCTTCCATACCTTGCAACATTTACACATATCTACTCATTTTCTATTAATTTCCCACTTTCTTTCTTACACCTACTTATTTTCAAAAAATAAAAATTCTTACAACTACTCACCTTATTAACATGTTATCGTCGTCTTAATTTGTGTGTAATTAACAATGGTAAAAAACAGGTAGTACTAATTAGTACAATAATATGTTTTTTTGACGAATCCTTCAACACTAAGTATAAATGGTTATCGCAATTATTTAAGTGCTTATTTTGCATTTGAATGTTGTCCAAATACACAACACTAATATAAATGAAGAGAAAAAAATATATACAAAAACAAAACAAAAGCAACTAGCACTTTTTGTTTCTTTTATTTGATTTTATAATATATTTATTTATTTTTAGAAGGGGAAAAAGTAACACACTTGGATTCTCCTGTACAAGAAGATAAGGAAAGCAATGAAAAGAAATGAGGGCATGTGGGGAGTGAGTATGCCACGCTTTCAACTCCTACCACAATCCCTTCTACAATCTCCCTTTATCTTCACTCCCCTCCTTTCTTTTCTTGCATTACTTGATTAAAAATTCATGGCAATGACATTACAGTTGCAGCAACAAGCAACTTCTACCAAGTCATGGACTATACCTTCTGCACTGGTGCCTCCTGCAGGCACCAGCATCGGCCTTAGACGCGCTGCTGATCGCTTTGCGTTACGATCATCTTTCTTGTCTTCCTCCCTCCGTCTCCCCGGTGTTAATGTTACTGCTGCCCCTAAGTTATCTATGCGTGTTGCTTCCAAACAGGCCTATATATGCCGCGATTGTGGGTATGAGTTACTCTTTCTGTTTGACTATGCTATCCTCTGTTTTTTTAGTCTTTTGCATCTTTTTAGTGACTTTATTGGATCAACTGATTGGTATACAGGTACATTTACAATGATCCTCGCAAACCTTTCGAGAAATTACCTGACAATTACTTCTGTCCTGGTAAGTCAGATACCCAACAGTTTCATTCCACTGCATCAGAATTATACAATTTTTTTTTTATCAGCTAAAAAGATAAATTATTGCAGTAAAATGTATGGCTTCAATTGGTCATTCAATCAGACTACATAATTGCGAAACAAAGACAGATTGACAATTTTTTCATATTAATAAACAAGTTTCAAATATTTATATTCGAAGTATCGAACAGATGCAATATTAGTATATTGCATAGCAATCTGTAATGATCCCAGAGATCGTAGTTTTAACTCAGATAGGAAACTTGTGCAGTGTGTGGAGCTCCAAAGCGCAGATTCAGGGCATATGACCCGCCTGTAACCAAAAATGTAAATGACAAAGATGTTCGAAAAGCAAGGAAAGAACAGATTAAAAAAAAAGAAGCCATTGGGTAAGTTCAATACAATTTGATTCTGTGATGCTACAAAACTGTGGGTCTATTACATTATAAAAGTTTTGATGTTTTTTACTTCTATTTTGTAGACGAGCATTGCCTATTGCCATTGTTGTTGGAATCGCAATACTTGGTGGAATATACTTCTACCTGAACAACACCTATTAAGGTCTTTAATTGAAGTTTTGTACTCAACATAGCTTTTTTTCTCATCACCCTGTACTTGTGAGGGTAGTGATCTCTTTTAACATCGATACTGCTACTCTTAATTCTTTTTGTATAATTGTACTAGTGAGAAATATTGAAGCATAAACATGATGAAAGCATATTGATATCATATTCTATATCATCTCAATGTCCTCATTCCTGTTTTTAAGTTTTCTGGTTATTTGACGAATTAGTTTAACTGATGATGGAGAATACTGACAGCAGGAAACACACAGTATCATCTGAGGTGCTTCAGTGCTTCAGCTTTGATGTTTTACCACATACTAGTTGTTTCCTATGTACTTAGCTTAACATTCATCCAATCTCTTCAATCACGTTGGTCAAATACTCAAACATATCAGCAGCATCAACTATTGTGATAATCCTTGCATCCAGCAGTCACTCAATCAGTCTTCTACAAAACTACATGTCAAACTATGCTCTCAATAGTTTGTCATAATTTCAACCTGACTTTCCTAAAAATCTAATATTTTGATCAGTACTGGCCCTCAAGAGCTGACAAGGTCATGCAAATAAAACTCCATCAGGTTTCTTTGGATTAAAATCATTGAGTTGACAGTCTAATCGTTCACATTTATTTGCCAAGCAGAATTTATTAAGACATAATCTATTGCCTATTCAACCAAAAATATTCTGAGAGAGATCATCTGCAAAAGAAGAAGAAATAACTGCCATTTTTTAGGTATTCAATTAACTTGGATCTTATCTCATACGCCTCAATGGACAGCTGCAAGTCTGCAACTAGTTATCTTGAATATCCAAAGTTGCAAATGGACACTAAATCATTCCCCTCCACCATAGCTAACAGTCATAATGCACCCGCAAGAATAAAATGCCATGCAACGACCAACATTGAAAAAAGTCTCTTTGCTGTGCAGGGGAGAGGGTGTTTTGTTTTTTTTTTTTTTTTTTTTGGGGGGGGGGGGGGGGGAGGGGCATCTACAGGTTCAGACCACATTCTGGTTGTAGCAAACATTCTGATGATCATAACGTGGCATGGCAATACTTATGGTCTTAGTCTTGGAATCAGTTCTCATGTTTGCCAGAGGCTGGTGGGAAAACATGCCAAAACTGATGCACAAAGCTTTGGTGTGTACCACCAAATCAAGAAGAGCAAGCCATGCCCAAGTATCTTCCCATGGAACATTTTACTGTTGAACATAACTTATAGTTGACGGCAAGTGAACTTAAAGACATTTCATTATTTAAGAATTAAGATTCAAGAACGAGGACTTCAAGTGGTTTACTGGCTGCACTAGATCCACCATCCAGCTGTATACGTATAATACAGGAGAAATTTGCTCATAATAACACTTATTTCCTCGCTATCTTGAAAATGTCAAAAAGATTTACATAATGCATGTACAGCTAGCTTGTAATCACTCCTGTAGAACAAATGATCCCTCTATCCTTTTGTCCAAGGATAATGGGGATAACAAATTCGCCGGTGAGTACATGTCCTTGAAACTCGACGTTGATGCAGGCTTAAATTCATAAGGTCCTTCTTTGACCCCCCATACCTGTAGCATATATAGCATTCAGTTCTACAGTTAACAATTCAATAACCAGCCACAAAATAACCAACACAAAAATGCATCTGTCAACCACATTATATATAATTATATACCACAAATATAACTTACTTGATTCCCATCTTCATCATATCCTCTATCCCACATGTGTATCTCATTGTTCTTCAAGACCGATAGCTCTGATTTACAGTATGAGGCATTGTTCTGTACACACAAGGAAATATTGGTCAAATATGAACAAGAAAGAAGCTTTCCTGCATCAAGGAATAGAAAAATACTCACCCAAGTATTAGGAAATCCCTCTGATGGTGTTTTCCCTTCATATAAGCAGCGTTTTCCACGTTCACACCGTTTGAGATGAATAGTAGTCAAATGTTCCGCGATATCCTGCAAAATGGCGACTGAAATAAGCAGCCATGAAAGTGTATGATGGGATATCCAGATATGTAAGTTGCTTAATGGGATACAGCTATCCTAGCTTTACTTAACCACCAAGGATTATGTGGTTCAATCCCTACAAGGCCTATCCTATTAATTATGAAGAAGTGAGGGGTAGCCAAATTTGTTAGGGCTTTGGACTGTCCCTCCACCACTTGACATCATTCATAGCCAAACAGCTAACATAGGATGACGTGCCCATACTTTATCTAGCTAAGAAGGAAAATTAATTACTTTATTAACTATAATTATCAAATGGAAACATTTACCAAGGATCTCACAAGTCAAATTTGAGGATTTATTTAAAATTCTTTGCCATCCTTCAACTACCAATAGTCTAGGGGGGGAAAAAAAAGTATATGAGATTGGGTCTACAATGCCCAGTTCCACTTCTACTAAGTGTGACAGGTCCCATAAGTATCTAATTTATGGCAATCAAGGTTCATCGCCAGTTGACTGTTTAGCTAATGTCACAATTGGAAGGGAAAGGCGAGGTAAAAGTTGGGGCAAAGGGAAAATCAGATAGATCAATCCAGAAAACTGGACCCAAAACCATATATACCAAACCAATATATAGGGTAAATGGACCGAAAAAATCGGATTTGGGATGTCATTAAAGAAAAAAAAAACCGAGATTTCAGATTGAATATGGTTAATGATTTTTCTGTAATTCGGATGCCTAAACCAACCACATATGAATTTAATGGTTAAAAAATTACTGAAAATAAATTTTAGCTCATTGGTATGGTTACCACTTGCCAATCATAAATTTGTCCTTGATTTGGCTTTTGACATTCCCTGTCTGCACTTCTTTTTTTTTTTCAATTAGTGTTAGAAATTAGATTTTGAATACAGCTGTCTCACTCGGGTACATTTTACCTAGGAAAAGGCAGTTCATAAATTTTGCCTAAATGAATTTCAATCCTGCTGGTCTCTTTTAAGCCAAAACATGACGCAGTAAGTCCTTTGACTTCATGACCATACCAATATGTTTTTATAAGCTGATGCAAGGTTGGCAAAGCAAACTAAAATAGCTTATTACCCGAACAAACTAAACTGATTTTCCGATTATATGGTTAACCAAAATTACAAATACGATTTAGGGTAGGAAAATGTGCTGCCATTATATACTACTTACAACAAACAGTTCACCAAATCCAGTTTTTCACACCCATGATGGAGCATGTGGAATGTCTAGTACTGAAAAAACCGATATAGATCCCCCTAATCAATCCCAACGAGTGCACGTAATTCAATCAGTCATAAAAAATAAGATGTTCTTACTGAAGAAAACCCATTTCCCATCACCATATATGTAAGCATTATAATATGATACATGTACATAGCAAGTACTTATGGCATTAAAAAAAATCACAGGTGAGTAGATGACCCTCCAGCACCATTAGAAGGAGATATTCGATTTTTGAAGTAAAAAATAGCAGGATTAGTTCTAGCATGATGGATAAACTATTTAACAGGAGAAATATCCCATAAGGTTGACAGCAGTGATGGACATATTTGGTATTTCTTCCAGCAACTTATACTCACAGCTTAACCATGTAGAAAATCTGGTATAGTCCATTTTCTATTACATAGAAAAACTATCACAGCAAGACCTAAAAGGTACTACAACATAAGTATATAATTATATATACATTTTGAACCTACTATACCTCTTCATTGTGTTACACGTATCAGAATGTTCTTGGAAGAACAAAGCTTGAAATGAATTTTTATGAAACTAACCTTATTCTAGCAAATTAATGTTAAGAGTTCAGTTCAAAGGATGTTTAAACATAAAGTATGCTAAAGCAAACTCACCCGAATAACTTCTTCAGGAAGTGGACGTTGATCCTTTGACCGATCACAGAAGTTCTTATACTCCTCCATGTCTCTAATGGCATATGTACTCAACTGCCATTGTAAGTAAGAAGCCTTTATCAGAACTTCAACTAGCCAGTGCACAAACTTGATAGTAATATGAGAAACTAAATCATCTAATGGAGAAAAAGAATGTGGCCGTCAAATATTTCTGCAAGCAGAAGTGTTGGAAACATGAGAACTAAAAATGGAAGGGAAAAGTATTCAGGGGCTAATTGCTACTTCAAAGAGGCAAAAAAAAAGAAGAAAAAAAAATGTACACATCTGAGGGAGATCAGAGATAAAGGTGGCCTTATAAAAGCTAATAGCTCAAAAATGAAGAACAATTTAAAACATAAGGCCCACCTCAACATCACATTTCATCTCCTTGGGACAAGGTTTAACCATATAAAATCTCTGCAATGCAATAGCAGCAATATTAGCAACCAAAAGGAGAATAATTTCCTACAGAATTTAATCCTGAGTATATGTAGAAACAAACATTGTTTACAAGAGTAAGTGACATTATATATCGATGAAAATTAAAACACATTTGGATTTCTGCCAACATCTTAAATTTCTATATTTATTTTTGGAGTAAGGCAGGTGAGGACTCCTGCTTCTAAAACCATATAAACTGAGGAAAGTGTGAAGAGACTCCAATCCAAGATAAATAGAAATATATATATAACCAGAGAAAGAGTATGTAAAAGAGCAAAAGAAGATAAAAGCCAAGAAACAAGAAACTAGCACATGACAAACGCACTCAAGTGTTCACACTGAACTTACTGAAGCCCTATTACAAAAATTAAAATATAAAGTATAACGAAATAAAAATTTCCAATTTCTAATACTCCCTCTATTCTTCAGTTTGGTAGATATGCAATTTAAGAAAATATTGAAAATGGTTATCGGGTGTAAATTTAGTAAGAGTGAGAATGGAAAAATAAAAAGATGAGTGGATGTTGAAAAAAAGTGAACAAAGTAAGAGAGAATGTGAAAACGTGTAATTTTTGTGGGGTAAAAGGGGTAAGTTGTTAAAGGGGGGTATACAAGTGAGTAGAAAAAAAAAAAAAAAAAGAACCGACTAATGGAAAATGAGTAGAACAATAAAAGAACGGAGGGAGTATTTGGGTTCAAAATGAATGTCAAATGTTCATACCAGGACAGCATGCCAAGTAATTTGTGAAGAAAACTCAAGGTTGAAATAACAGTTCTAGCAAGTAACAAAGAAGAAATGAGAAATAGTTATGATTAGGCATCGCAAATGATCTCCTCCATATATAAGGGGGCATACCTGGCGAAAGGGTTTCTGAGGAGTTCTCCAGAATGCCTGGTAACAGAACATCATACCAGTTAACGAAATATTTCCATGGATTAAAAAGCCAAACAATACACTGTATCTTAATTACCTGCTCGAAGTATAGAACTTTTGAGCCATCCACCATATCTGCAGCTGGACAGGCAATCATTCTACAAAACAGAATCCTCCAAATTACTTAATTCTGCATATGAAATGTTCTAGACAAACGATTCTTCTTAAACACCCTCAAACACTCAGAAACAGACAAGGTTAAGCAATTCTACTACAGTGATTTGGACAACAAAGGCCATGCTTTAAATGAAAGAAAAACATTTGGATATATACATTGTAAGATTTGTAACATCTAATTAGTTGAGCTGGTGGTTGCGGTTGTTAGGAATTGGTGACAGAGAGAAGAGGAAGGACATAGTTATTTCTCAAAGGACATGAAACCTATCACTTCCATTTTGAAGTGATATATTATCCTTTCTTTCTTCTTATTACACTCACATGAGTACATGACAGCATTGTACTTCGTATAATCTTTTTCCACAATAGTCAACATCCCCTAACCAAGTCCCTTCGCTCCGTGACTAAATTGGAAACAAGAAACCTACTAGTAATTCCATGATCAATCAAAAACATACTTACTCTGTCCCGATAGTTGTCACATTGCGAGTTCAAATTATACCACCATCAAGACTACTAATTCTATACAAAGGGAGTATATTTTTGATTGATCATGGCATCGACTAATAATGTGATAACTAAATCTAAATACCTCAATCCAAACCCCCAAAAGATAATTACCAACTCGAATACATTCTATAAAGACCCAAAAATCTAATTAACAACCACAAAAATTCTAATAATCAAGCTGAAAAACAAAACAAAACAAAACCTCAAATTTTCAACATTTCCTACAACATTTGATGAAAGAAAACATAGTAGCATAACAATACCTCAAATTGAAAAAATGATCAGGGTCTCTCGCAGCTTGTTCCCTTGAATTCTACACAAACCCAACAAACAAATACCCTCAAATTCAACAAACAAAAATCCCCAAAATCAAATATTCACAAAAAACAAAAAACAAAAAAAAAAAAAAAAAAAAAAAAAAAAAAAAAAAAAGAGGGAGAAAAAACCTTTTCGTCGGAGAGGGAATGGGAGACGAAGCGAGCATGGTCACGGCGGGTGGTGGATTTAGTAAGCCGGCGAACGAACAACGCGCCGCCAACCACAATTAGAGTTTTAATGACCCAACCACTTGCTTTGCTCCACCCTCCATTTGTTGGTTCTGTATCTCCTTCACCCATTTCTTTTCTGTGATTTTTCTATGATTCTGGCATAATTCTGGGAGTATTGGCAAAATTTCAAGCTTTATTTTTCTGGGTTTTCTGGGAACTTCAATTCAAAATGATTTTGCACAAAGATTGTTACCTGTATTGGTAAGAGAGAAGGAATTTGAGAGTGGAAAAGAGGGTTGAGTGTGAATTTGGAGGATATTCAGTGGTTCAAATTTTCATACATATCGACGGGAAAAATGACTAACTGTAAGACGGAAGTGGTGGATATCAACGCCTATAATAATCACACTTAACTTAAATTATTTTTATTAAAATAAAATTATTTTTTCTGAATTGAAATTAATTTTGTTAAACTGAAATTATTTTTACTAATTCTCTATAATGTTTTTCTTTAAAGTTACAAAATTTTGCTGAACTAAGATTATTTTAACTGAAATAAAATTAATTTTGTTGAACTGAAATTATTTTTAATGAATTGAAACTATTGTTACAGAATATTATTATTTTTTAGGTGAAAGAGGGAAAAACAATTACGGAGCGTATTATTTGGTTCCTTTTTACTAATAATCCGTACTTCATATGAGTTTGTAGAAATGATTGTTTGATATCCATTGTGTTGTATCCGCTTGCCTTGCACTTGGTTTAGCTTGGCTTATGCCTGACCATACAAACTACTCGTATCATGTTGAAATTTCTAAACGTCGATATAGTGTATAGTGTATAGGAACTAAGCCTATGTATTCACTAAGTTGGAATGTTTGTGTGAATAAAATTTTACCTATTTCATAGAGTTAATCACTATTTCTCTCAGGATTCCAATCACTATCAATATAATCAGATTTGATTTTATAAACAAGACATCATTGAAATTCACTCATATATTGAGCAGTTATCTTGGCACTGAAGAGCCACAGCTATGAAATTAAGCTAGTGGTAATCCAAGCAACCAAGAATACAGCCAGTATGAATAGATGGGGCTGCGCGCATAGGGATGGGCAGCATGCTAGCAATCAACTCTTATGGCTAAAGATGAGCATATTCGCAACTCCATCCAAACATTGCAGTGGCACACAAGTCAATGAAAACACCGTGTTTTTTTGGAAAGAACAAAAAAGTTCAGCTCTGTTACCCTAGATAATGCAATTTCGGAGCGCCACTAAAACAGGAGAGCAAAACTGAAATGGATTTAAACAGAACATAGTTGGGACCAAGACTATTTAAATGATTAGATTTTCTTTTCATTTCTTTATTTAAAGAGAAACTTGGTTACGTACAAGCATGCAACTAAGTTTCATATAACATACATGACAAGTACTAATTATATTACCATGTTCATCTTCCAGGTAAATAAACATATGAAGTACATTCTTATTTTCCTGTTGGTGAAACTTTCAAAGCAGTTTAAAAATTTCATCGATTAGAACTACTGATTTCCGGAGACAGGAGTGTCTTTGCCTCTCTTAATGTCATCCCATCCTCTAACCCATGGCTTCCCTGGTGATGCTCGCGTCTCAGGAGCAGCATGGCTGTTTAGATTGCTAGAAACCTTCTCGCGAATAGCAGTAAATACCTACAAATATAAATTGTTTTGAATCAAATTCCAATTTTTTAACGAAGTATGGAAGATAACAATGATTTCTTCTCAGTTAGAATCTCACAGGATTCACACTGATTGACTCAGGTGGTTGTTCTTGCCCACTCAGCCAGTTCCACAAATCTGGGTTCTCCTGTAGACATGAACATAAAAAAAAAATGAGTTCATCCATACAAGCACAGTATAGTCCAGTATCCAGATTTTCCCAGCAAGTACAAAAGCACTCAGAATTCTTAATTCCAGTTTTACCATAGAAGAATAATTGAAATATATAGGAATGTCTCTTAACCAAACAACAATTAAATTATAGCTTCTTGGATAACAAGATACAAGCATATTAACAAAAGGGGTCAAATTTTGAATATAAAGGGACTTAAAAGATTCCTTCAGTGATTCAAAGTACGTTACAAAATAAAATAAAAACATTTTGATCACGAAATGAAAGGTATAAGACATTTTTTGTACAAAGATGAATTAATTCATAGTATTTTCAAATACATGATCCAATAACTTGACAAATGTTGAATCAGATATGAGAGCTAAAACTGTAAATTTTATGCGTAGCAGTTTTTTTCCCTATTTTTGTTATGGTAAGCATTATAAGCAATACAATGTGAACATTCTATATATCAGGCATGCTATCCTACATTCCTACTAAACCCTCATATCCTGTACCAACACCCAAAAAAATCACAAGAAGAGTATTATCCCATTTCACTATTTCCAACTAAAATCCACTTCTTGGAACCTGAGAGGACACCACAATCATCTGCAGGTCTAATACACTACAAATTAAATACAGAATACCTCTAAATCTCACTCCCTAAGCTATCTTAAAGGGCTTAAACAGTTGTTGACAATCATCTGGTGAAACCTCTAACCTTGCAGAAAGTAAGCATGCAAACATATTGGGCATATCACTTTAATTTTGTATCATATTTTAACTTCATAGCAAAATTGGACAATAGAACATAAAGCATATCAGAGGGAAAAAAAAATGACAAACCAGGTCAAGAACTTCAATCAGAGATTTAATTCTACTTTCATCCATCGAATGGATATTATCTTCAACCCATTTTCCTAAGACCAAATCCAGTTCCAAGAACCCACGTTGCTTGCTCCGATACAGCAACCTACACCATAAAAAATTACATAATGCAAAACATAATCTAAACAGCTTGATCAACAATTATAACTTCCCAATATTGCGCAAAGCAATGTAGAAGATAACTAGATTAACCTGTTCATCGTACGCCTTCTACTCTCCACATCAGAAAGATCAATCTCACTCGAATAAAATCGATACGTCACAGGAACCAACTGCGAATTCCTGAATATTTTAACACCAAAACAAATAGAAAACATTAATCAATCGATTACATATCAACAAACTGAGACACAAAAATCAAAGAAAACGAAGGAGATAATTACACAATTCTGCAAGGTGCAACGGTTGGTGAAGCAAATGAAATGCAATTTGTAGAAGCAACTTTCAAATTGATGATCCTATTGAGAGTTGTCGCCGCTCTTCGAAGCATCGCCATCTGATAGCAATTCAGCTAGTATTATTAAACAAATTCGACTTTGAAACTTGAAATCTTAACTTAACAGCTTGCCATTCAAATTGAAACAAATTCCAATAACTCATCCCATCACATTTGCAAAGCAATCAATAGCAAAAATATAGTCGCAAACCTTAAGGTTTAAACTATGGTGGAATTGGAATCACGAATTCACCCAAAATACAGATTAAAAATGAAAAATAACATAAAGTTAAAATGTCCAATTAATCTAATAATTATAAATTAAGAATCTCACACTATCAAAATTGAATTCCTCAGCTCTAATAATGCAATATAGCTACATTAAAATTCATTGAAATCTACGTGATTTCTCGTGCAATATTATTATTCAAAATTACAAAAACAAGGTGAAATTTCCCAAACCTACATATAAAATGAAGTAATAAAGTGCATGAATTCTGCAAATTACCAGAAAAATAGAATGCAAAAGGAGGAAAGAAAAAAAATGAGAAAACTGACCTCAATTCAAAAGCTAGTTTACTTGCCACCGTTTAGAAACCGGTGCAGAAAACGATTTAATTAAATTGGTTTAAAGAATAAGAGGGGAATAACGACGAACACGTCTCCCTTCTAATAACCAGACAACTGAAAATAAAAGTACTGCTTGTACCTAAGCATGTTCAATGGGTTAGGGGCCCATTTAAAGCCCTGATCCGGCCCTTTTATAAAAGAGTTATATCAATACAATATTTAAATTTTAAAGGGTTATTAAATAATGGGCTTTTAAATGGTTGGATCTAAGTCAAAAAGACTGAAATTGGATGGTTTATTAAATACCAAGTAATTCAAGCTGCCCGACGAGATTAATAATGATGGAGTGAGGACGAAGGCGTTTCAATTTGGAATTGGCAGTGAATAGCTGACTGAAAAGGATGACAGAAGGAAGAAGACGCAAAGAGATCAATTGATTGAAGAGGGAAAGGGGAAAATCTGAGATCGGAAAACCCTAATTTGCAGTGTTCTCTAACAGAATCGAGAAACAGAAGACGATCATCAGTTAGAACTTGGAAGAATCCTTTTACTGGAAAAATTTCGGAATTGAAAAGGAAAGAGGGATGAAAATAGGGAAATGAGAGGTACCTCCATTAAAACGCAGAGCTTTAATCATCTTCTTAGTCTTTTGTTCTCCAGTGAAGCAGAGTTTAAGGTGTTGCTGCAATTTCTGTAATTTCCCAAACAAGAAAGACGGAAATTGGAGGGTAACAAACTAACAACTGACATCAGTCGGAGATTGGTCAAAAAATAAAAATAATATAAGTATATTAAAAAAATTTAAGAAAAATAAAAACATTACTAATTAATTAATTAATTAATTAAAGAACCACCCTCCCCGCCAACCGGACCTCTGTCCCCCAACTCCGGCGGCACCCAGACCCCCCTTCTCCCCTTCTATGTCCCGATTACGACCCTCCTCCCCTTCCCCTGTCCCGATTCTGGCCCCCTCCCCTTCTCCGCCCCGATTATAGCCCCCTTCCCTCGTCCCGATTACGGCCCCCTCCCCTTCTTAATATACAATTGTATGTATATCTTTACTACTTAATCCAAGGGTTATTGCTTATTATGATGTAATTGATTTAGCTTTGATTAAATAATGCCTACAATATTAACAACTAATTGTACTGTAAAAAGGAGTAGACAACATTAGATTTATTGAGTTTGGGAGTAGCTAGTTTGATTTGATTTTTTTATTTTTTTTTTATATGTATGGATTATATAGTAATTTTTTTACTCTAATTTGTAGGAAAATGTCATTTGAAAATCCATCAAATAGTACATATAGTAGGTTGTTCACAAATGACCAATATTTTTTTGATCAAGTTACTAATGCTCATACATTAGAGGATGGTCATAATTCTCAATATACACACTTGTAATGATGTTGACGTCAAGGAGGGTGATAGAGAAGTTGATGAAGCTAATGAGGAATTAAATATGGTGAATAAGGGTGACATAACTGCCGAAAGTAACGAAGATAAGCAAAGTGATGTTGTATCTTCTAGTGCTCCAATCCCTGAGTTTACACAAATTAACGAAATTGACAAAGATGAAGTTAATAAGTGGGTGTCATGGGTTTATGTGGCTTCTTACAAGTCAGTGGTTGAATTTTGCATTGGTCAAGAATTTGCAAACAAAGATGCAATGATTGAGGCAATGACAAGTTACCCTGTACAAAAAAAATCAACGTTTTAAAGTGAGTGAATCAAGACCAACCACAATAACCTTTATTTGTGGTAGGAAACTTGTGAATTGTTCTTGGAAGTTAAGAGCTACACACAAGACTTTAGTCTCCGATAAATTTACAATTGTCATATACAAGGGTCCTCATACTTCCACTTGTGTTAGTGACATTCTTCCTAAGGATCACTCTAACTTGAAATCTAAGTTTATTGCTCATCATATACGCAACATTGTAGAGGTTGATACACCCGTTAAGGTTCGTGTTTTGATTGAGGTGGTGAAAAATCTATTCAATTACACTATCTCATACAAAAAAGCTTGGAATGCAAAACAAATGGCTATAGTTGAAATCTTTGGTGATTGGGAGGAGTCATATGAAGTTCTTCCACAATTCATGCAAGCTATGGTGGAGGCAAATCCCGGTACCATTGTTCACTTTGCCAATTGTGAAACCGAGGATCCTAAACTTCATATTTTCCAGAGAGTTTTTTGGGCTTTTGATCCTTCTATAGAGGGATTTCAGCATTGTCACCCTCTAATCACCATAGATGGGACTCATTTATATGGAAAATATAAGGGGACTCTCTTAATTGCAATGAGCGTTGATGCTAATAACCAGCTTTTTCCACTTGCTTTTGCATTGTTGAATGTGAAGATGGCAACACTTGGCCATTGTTTATGGTATGTATAAGAAGATTTGTTACACAACGATCTGGCTCGTGTGTTATTTCAGATAGACACGGTGGCATTATGAAAGCAATGAAGGAAGAAAACACCGGATGGAGGGAGCCATATGTGTATCATAGATTTTGTATTCTTGGCCTCAAATGTTCATACTCAATTTAAGAACAAAGAGCTAAAGAAAATATTTGGTTGGACTGCTTTCCAACATCAAAAGAAAAAGTTTGACCATGGATTGCAAAAAATAGGTGAGATGAATGTAGAAGCTCGTCGATATTTAGGTAATATTGATGCTAGTATGTGGCCTCTTTGCCATGATGGTGGTTTTAGATATGGGCTAAAAACATCCAACTTAGCTGAGGTCTTCAATAATGTGCTTAAGGAAGCTCATTTTTTTACCTATTACAACACTAGTTAAATTGACATTCTTTCGAGTGAATACGTATTTTGTACAAAGACGTGAATCATCGAAAAAAGGTTTCTTGATGGACATTTGTATAGCGATAAAACAACGAAGGACATAGAAGCTAATGATGTTAAAGCAGTTCATCACAAGGTTGAGATGTATCACCAAGACGATGACATCTAACAAGTGACAACTAGACATGGCAATAGGGAACAAAAAAAAGAGTTCTCATACCCATACAGTCAACCTTAGTCGCAAAACTTGCACATGTAACAAGCTTCATACATACAAAATTCCTTGTTCCCATGTTCTTGTTGTATGTAGGTCATATAATTTGTCACCAGCTCAATTTGTTGACCCATTTTTTTCAAGTGGAGAATATATGGGAACATATAGAGCTACATTTCATCCTATCCTTGATAAAGACTATTGGACACATTATAATGGACCAAAAGTTGTTGCCGAAGCTAGTCACAAGCGTAGTCCTGGACGACCTCCTTCCCAAACATTACGAAATGAGATGGATGAAGGTAATCGAGCGAGGGTGACATGTAGTGTTTGTCGACAAAAGGGACACAATAATAAAAAATAAAAAAAAAAAAAAAAAAAAAAAAAAACTTGTTCATCAAGGTTAGCTAATTTTGTAAGATAATTTTCTTATATGTATATATAGTTGTTCAAACGGAATTACTTTTCTTACTAACAATGTTGCATGTCTACTTTTTAATAGATCAAATGGAGCTTCTAACTCTACTTCTTGGCAAACATGACTCTTCAAATTTTCATTTGAAGCATGAGCACACATCTGTACCTTGAAGGCTGCCTGATCATCATCTCCAAATTCATAAAAACTAGTGCTAAATTGAGCTTTTTACTTAGCTAGTATGACATGTTTTGAGTTATTTTGTAATAAAGTAATATCATCTCCAAATTGATATTGCATTGTAGAACTAGCAATTGGTTTCAAGAATGGTGATTGAGTGCCCTTTGATAATTTAAATCCGACTAAATAATGCATTATGTATCATGTTACATATAAATTTTTTGACAAGGTTATATCCATAACAAAAATGCTAGAAATTTTTTAAACATTTATATTACTTTGTATTCACTCTGGTCAAGATACCGTAAGCGTTAAAGATAAAGAATTTGATGGTATACATATATATTTGTAGTGTATTAGCCATTAATTATTAACCACTAGCTTTGTAATTTCCGAACCTACATGGACACTACTTTAAGAAATTTTTTTTAAGTGAACACTATTTTAGTAATTTATTTATTTTTTACACTAGTTTGGCAAATCGTTCTTTTTCGTTTTCCTCTTATCTTTCCTGGAATTATGATATACTAAAATAAGGGTGAATGTTGTTATTGCCTAGGTACCCTGCTATTAACAAGCCTGCTGGTGTTTTGCATTGGCTCCGGCATACTGAGGATGCTAGGAATTACAGGTGGGCAACTTGCCGTGCCGGGCCACCGCAGGCCGTGCTTGGCGGGCCACGGTCTCCGGCGTGCTGTGCCGTGCCGTGCCACGTGCCACCCAAAATCGCAGGCCAGCCCACGGTACGGCACGGCCCACGTGCCGAGCAGGCTCGTGCCGGGTTGGCCTGCGTGCTCGCCTATGTGCCGCCACCGTGCGGCATTACTTCTTTGTTTTTTTTTTTTAAATGTTTATACTTTATAGTTTATACTATTATTTTTCTTAAAATAAATTAAGTTTAATATTTATGTTTTATTATACTTAATATTTATATTTATATTTAGTTTATACTATTACTTTATAGTTTAATGTTTATAATTTATTATATTTATTTTTGTATTATTAATTATTACAATTTTTTTTTGTTATATTAATTTACAAATTATAACTTAACCGGAAAAAAAAGGAAAATTGGACTTTGGATGTGAATAATGCATACTTCATATTATTATTACTTGAAAAAATTATGCAATGATAATAATAATGATAAAAATCGTACAACGATTTAAAAAAAATTGGATAATGATAAAAATCGTACAATGATAATATTGATAATGATAAAAATCGTACAATATACAAAAATTGTCTATTCTTCATCTATTCTTCTTCGTCTTCGTCTTCGTCTTCGCCTTCAAGGTCATCAGCTAGTTGAATAGATTGGGAACTAACCGAACCCGAACGGTCGAAACCGGAGGTTCCTTCATCATTGTTGTTGTCGTCGTAAGAACGGTCTTGTGAGCGATTTTCAGCATCTAACCAATCTTTGAAACACACGCACATTTCAAGTGTTTCGGGTTTTAGACTTGTTATTCCATCGTTTAAAACCCTCCCGGATGCGCTGAAAGCTCGTTCAGAGGCAACGAAGGAGACTTGGATACCAAGAATGTCTCGTGCCATTGCCGCCAAAGTTGGATGCTTCGAGCTTTGTTGTTTCCACCATGCAAGGAGGTTAAGGCTGTTTATCTCATCGTCGTCCATGCCCTTGGTGAAGTCGTAACTCAGGTACATTTGCAACTCCGAAACATCGCTTTGCGTTCTCCTTATTGATGAATCACCTGAAAACCTTTAAATCAAGTTAGTAGCTTGTAAAAATAAATGCTTGGCCTTTTTACTTACGTTTTTGGATGGTTGGGAAGGGCCAGAGCGAGGAACGATGCTATATTTGGTTTTATAAACTCTATATAAAACAAAAAAAATTGATCCTTCACATTACTCTTATAGGTTTCTACATTATCGTCAATAAGCATGCATTGAAAATAAATGTCAACTAACATAAATTTATTTTCATACTTTTACCTAGGATCTAATATAAAAGCAAAAATATAAATTAAAAGAATTTCTGTATAATATTTACGCCACTTTGTTTCCATTGCTGGAAGATATTGATCATAATCACTTTGGTTGCGATGATCAGCGAAAAGCTGAGCAAGTAAACATGCATTTGAAAGAAAGTTTTGATCACAAGGATTATAAACAGAAGAAAAACAAAATGTCATGTTATAATAATTGTAAAAATTGCATATATCTTTCACATTTATCCCAATCATCCCCATATATAGCATTGTTTGGAAATTTTCCGTTGTAAATTTTTTTTAAAGGATTCTTATATTCAATTGCCTTGGTTAACATGTCATAGGTGGAATTCCACCTAGTTGGA